CAGAAATATAAATGCATTCTGTGGCCAAAAAAGCATTCCATAGAGAAAATTACGTTGGCTTGTAGGCGGTGCTGCACGAGTCGTATCGTGAACCATACTGTGAGCTGTATTGCAAGCCGCATGGTGAGCCGCATTGCAGTCGTATTACAAGCCGTGGTGGCTGAAGTTGTTTCGGCATCGTATTTTGTTGCATGATTTGTTGGGGTTTTTGTTTTTGTTGGTTCATAATTATTTGATAGGAAAGTGCAACGTTATTTCTTCGAGGGTGTTGTATTTCTGTTTTGCAAGTGTGAAGGCCTGCTTTTATAAAATTCTCACTAAGCGCACACACAAACAAACAATAGTCAATAGCTGTCTAGAGACAACGATTAAACCCGATTTTCCTGTTCGGTCGGGGGAAGTTGGTATTGTCATTTACTGTAATGAATTCATACCAAAAAGAACTTATTGCGTACCATACCCGACGCATTCGGAAATACGCCAAATAATCCGTAATCCAATACCTAGTTCTCTCGCATTGTTCGTAAACAATCGATTGGCAAGTTTTGTTTGAGGCACTTTACAGAAATAGTAAGACAATCCGGATCTTGAGTATGACTGGATCAAGGTATTCTTTGTCTATGACGACACAAGCGAATGAAAATCGTTTTGGTGTCCCCATACTTTGTAACCTCCTGGAAGTCGGTTCTGAAGTCTGTCATGCATGAGAAAGAAACAGAGTTTGTTACATGGTTAACGGTTGGAAATACGAAATTCTAAGACTATGCTACGGCTTTGGACCTTTATATCACTTAGTCCTTCTTTTACTTATTACTGAAAGACGTTTGTCGTAAAACTTTATTCTGCTTGGGTATTGCCCGAAATCTAAGCATGTGACGATCTTTCACAAGGGCCTCTCGTTAGACAACCCCTTTATTTTCGAAAATCTCTATTGTCCATACGGTGTAACCCACAATGATTTTGGTACCAAAGCTGTAGTTCGATGAAGTGGCTAAATTTATGTTACACATATGAAAATGTATGAAAACATAAATACTAATACCGCCATTTCATCGAACTACTTCTTCATTACAGTAACTAATTTAAATTCTGCACGAAAAATACAATTAATTAGGTACAAAACGGTACCAAAATCATTGTGACTCACATAGTAAATACAGACAATAGAGGTTTCGAAAAAAAAATTTTTTACTAGTAAAATTTCGTCTTGTACTTATAATTTTGGCAGGGAGGTGTAGTTATTATCATAAATATGTTAACCGTTGCACATGTACATAACTATTCTTCAGAATTATAAACTGAACCTATTTACACAATTCCCTTTTACTGGTAATGTATATTCGATAGCTGTTCTATTGCAAATTTATCGTTCAAAGCATCTAGTTGTCTTCTCTACTTCTAATTAGGAAGAACATTATACAGACACTCTTCGATGCATACTAATTTCTCAACTGAATGAACGGGATTCCAAGTCTTTATATGTTGCGTCTAAACACTTCCTTATAATATCTGCAAGTTCTTGTGAAATTAACCACTTTCCCGAAACCTTTGTTGATTGAGATCAAAGCACTGAATTTCTCAAAGCTCATAAATGCTGCATTAACCTTCAATGCCTTTATGGCAACTTTGTTGGGGGATATGTTCTAGCCCAAGTCGGTATTTAGATGGCCAACCACCCCATATTCGAATGTTACATGGATGTTTTCATGTTATCAATTATGTTGTCGCTTACCTTAAGTCGATTAAAATACTTTCTATTTGTATCTCTTGACGCTTTTGATTAAGTCGTAACCACCACGTAATTTACATCCGCCAACGAGTCTGAGGAGATAGGTTTTGTATTTAAGGCGCAGTTGATCTTTCTCCAACTGTCGTAAACGCAAATTCTTTTACGGCCATAACATTATACTATCTGAATTTACAGAATCAGAATTCGTATTATACAAGAGAAGTTACAAGAGAGATTAACATAATTAAATTATGGATACTTGAAGCATAATACTACAGTGAACAAGGTAAAAGTAATAACGACGACTATTATACAAATTTTATGGTTGATAAGAAAACATTTCCATTTGTGTTGGCAGCAGCAACAATTGCTGATAAAAAAGCTGCAATTTGTGGCTTTTTAGTATTAACAGAAAGAACGGGAGGATAATTGACACAATGGCAAAAATTTGCAGTTTTGCAATTTCGGAATGTCAGATGATTAGTAAGAGAGGCGATAACAAAATGGACATAGTAACAATAGGAACAAAACTAGTAGCAGCTAAGTTTTTCTTTTTTGTCTAATTTACTCAAACGGTTTTATAATTACAAGCAGACGAACACAGCCTCAAATATATATAGTTGAGTTCGGATATCTATTGGCCTGCTTTGTTAGATAACTGTAATATGCAGATATCGTCCGTTGCCGTTTTTCTTCTTGGCAGCAGACGTGTTGTTTATGCTGCATATTTAGCATTTCTTACCAAGCCAAGTTAGTCATTTTTTTCGCAAGTTATGACAGATTTTCAATTTACTAACCAAAAATTCCCAGCCCATCATTGACTGTATCGGGTATCCAGTTTAACTGTTATATAATATTACAAATTTATCTTGTTAATTGCCTTTCGGTTGTGTCGAATATTGGCAAGATTTCGAGGTAACACCTAGAAGTTTCTGTTCACAGGTTGTAAGCGAGCGATTACGTACGTAACTTAAACTGCAGTAAATTTGCGCATACTTTAACTTATTTATTACTACGAATATAAAATTACTATTCTGATTAAGTAAATTGAGTCTACCGAACAAGACCAGAACACCTTTTGTAATTGGAACTAACCAGAAAAAGAGTTGCCTTTTGAAACATTAAAAAAACCCCCCACTGCGGTGCATTAATGGTGTGACTTACAGTATTCAATTATTAAAGAGTTGCTTTGTTGGTTAGTAAAAGCACAGAAAATAAGGGTCCAACCCATGTGTGACCAATAAAGGACTCGAAAGCTTAATTATTAAAGAGTGAAAACTTTTTGAGCGAAATTAATATTTCAACAGTTCGTAAGACGTATGAATGCATTAATACCCCATAATAATAATTACCGTTTCTAGACATTGTTACTTGCCCATACAGAATATTTGTCGCACACATCACCGAAATTGTAAGAACGATCTACACATTAGTATGTTGTAAAACGAATACAAGATCTGATCAACAGCACGCACATCGACGGATAATCGCTGATAATCATCGACGGTCATAGCTAACAGGCTGCCCAGCTAATAAATTAGAAAACGCTCGTTTACCACAACACTTGTACGAATAGCAGAGTGGATCTTAAATATTTAGCGCTTATTCTCAAAGTTTCCTTGGCCTATCTTTATTAATGTACCACAAATATACCTCATAAACTACGTTCTTACTATGATATTCTTAGTTGGACAGAAACAAACATTTAACACAAACATTTAGCAATTTCAAATTCGTATTCCTGTTCAATGGGAACAATAGCAGAAAACATCTCTATTAATAGAGTAACGACCAAATTTGCCAAAGCTGTGTAGCATTTAAGAACAAACGTATACCAGCGCGCCAATCATTTCTGTGCAAAGATATTTTTATCACATCATATATCGACGATCTTTACTATACTCCCATTCCCACGCCATGTTAGCATTGCACAAGTTACAAAATATGGCTTAGCGGAAAATCTATAATTTGTATTACATTGTTTGTTTCACAGGATTAATTAGTTTTTCGTTATTATTATTTGAATGATGGAGAAGAAAATATGGATAAATTAGAATGACTTGACGTTCTTAAAAGGGAGTAATGGTTATATAATTGGCAATGACATCAACACTTCTCACAAATTGAGTTAAATGTCTTTGTAGGGAGATCTTCAATTCGATCAAATACGTAACCATATCGCAATTACAAATTTTCAAACTTTAATTGTGCCATTAATAGAGAAACAAGTGTACATTGATTCTGCAAGTAGTATCATGGGCGTTTCAGACAAGGGACGTTTCACCCTGTTTTACCCCGTTTTTTCCTTTTTTCTCCATTTTGTTGCATCACGACATTGCTTTCTTTAGCGACTATGAAGAAATACCAAATTTATTATCAGTGTAACTAAGCCTGCATCATCTGACGATTACACCAAGTAGTACACTATCGAGAAGGAGTATGATTTACTAGCTTGTGTAGTTATGATTGTTAAATCATCCACCAATAAAAAACTACTAATTTCACATGCTGCATTTGTTGCGTTACACATAGCCTGCCTGTTTATTGCTGCTTAGAAAATTCGACACGGAAAACTCGACACGGCAAGTTACAGATTCATTAACGTTGCGTGAACGAACAGGGACTGTAAAATCTTGCTAGTGTGCTAGTTGTTGGCCATGCTATTCTCCAAAACGGAGGGTAAATATTCAACAAGTATCTTTTGTTTTCTAATGTGTACTTGTTATTTTTCTCCCTTGGCATGTTTTCACTAATTAACGTTTCTAACAATAGTAGTATTGTCGTTCTCTATCCTGCAAAAATAATTGATGCACACAAAATTAATTTGCAATATGTTTAAGTATGGCTATACATTATGGCGATAGATAGCTCTTAAAAAACTAAAGTCGATTCTTGTTGCCTTGTTCGAGTATTGTATGTCAAACTGGCAACACACATGTCTGTTCTATGTAATTCTCTAAAAATAGACAATAATGTGTCTGTGTGTTGATGTGTAAATTACCATATTAATCGCTCCACGTAAAAATAGCACAGAGGTTGAGTATTTTTATTCTAAAACCGCAGCAGTTGATAAAAATAGCAAATTGATGCCGAATGCGAACATTGTGGCACTCTCCCTCTCTAGTATATTAGGACCGCATTTTCCATCCATCTTCTTCCATCGGAAATATTCGATACAGTTGACTTGAACCTGATCAACTCTTCAACGACCAAGCTCTGACAAACAAAATACACGGTTAATCCTTTAACAAACCTTAAACGAAACGAAACAATGAAGCAAAACGCCATTCGCACAATCTTCTTCCTTGTCTGCTGCCTTCTCGTTGTGTTGTCACCTTCACTCGCTGCTACAGTCAAACGCGCTGACGGTGACATTGGATATGCCGAATTTAGAGCAACTGGCGATCGTCCTGTATCTGGAGCCGTCACATTTTACCAATCTGGCGCAGACATTATCATTTACGGACAATTTAATACTGGAATTATCGTGGGTTTCCCCCCCTGCACACTGAAAGTTAAAAGCAACCCTGAAGTCAGCTTGACAGCACTCATCCCCGCTGGGACTAAAAACCAACCCTTTAGATTCACTCTTAAGGGAAAGAGTCTTCAATCTTTCAAGGGCGCAAAACTCGTTCTCAAATGTGATGGTGGATTAAAGGTTGGCAGTACAGTCATCACAGTCATCCCATAGAGGCTTCAATTTTCTGAATAGAACTTTTTTTTTTGTTCTTTGACGGCTGTTGAACATTGTATTTTTATTTTTTCAAACTGTTGTAACTTACGAAATAGTGTGATTTTTGTGTTCTATAATCATAATATTGTAACCGTATCTAATATGTTGTAATGACACTCTATCGAGTTTACAATACATTTCATAATATTGTTCGGATAATAAATACGGATATGATTTACAAATTCGAGTCGAAGGTTTTATTGAAATGACTACAGAAATGACGTATATTTAGCAATCTAAGATGCATATGTTTGTTATTGCGTCTTATGTCCGTATTTCTCTAACAATTATACACGGATGTAAAATATTATCACAAAATCAACAAATTGTATCGGAATGTTATATGCTTCTTTTGCTTTGATAAAAGAGACAAGGCACTAACTATCCCAGCGACAGCCAATGTTTATCTTGTCTCATGGCGTGTAACTGATTGGGAATTACAACGAAGGAACCAATATGCCATATCGAACCTTAATATGTATGGCATAACTAAAAAATAATTGCGGACGGTTTTATTCCTTCTGAACGTACTTTTATTATTGCAAAATTTTAAGGCACATACTGCACACTACTAAAGATTGATGGGTTAGTTTTACCGGCAGCAGCAGAGATCGGTATGGTGTCAGTTGTAAGAAAAACGCCAATAACAAAAATTTAATAACTAAGATATTATATTGGTAAATTCCCTTATATACTTGTACGATTGAACACTAAAGAACGTACAGCGCTATGACAACTCTTAGTAATAATAACTTCGTAATGCGCCCAAAAAATTAGTGGGCGATATCGCTCATACTAACTAGCATGCAGATTATCTTATTGTCTAGTTTGATATTCTACAAAAACAAACTCATATGACTATTAATTAATACTTACATCTCAAGATAAGCATTTTCTGAATAGCCGTTGAAATAAGTGTATGTTCATAGGGTAAATTGTTACTATTTCACATTCATGCGTTTATTTACAACAATACGGTAACATCCCAGGCTCAGCAAAATCAACTAACAATTGCGCATATCCATCTTCATGAGAACGGTTTCCAGGAAAAACAAGACATTAATCACTGAATCATTTTGCTAGCATCGTACGATTTGAATTCGCCTACCAATTTACCCAGATTTCTTACTGCCCAACTTCCATATTTAATTTGTCTTTGTCTTTTTTCTATTGGTACAACGGCTAATACATCCTTAAATTTACCAACTCTTCCGAAACATCTTTACTTGATAAAGGATTGATTCCAGCATTCGTTCATATGAGATATCACCATGATCGCGAATAGCAAGTAAGCGCATGACTATGAAGAATCGTCTGTGATGGATAACGTTTAATCTGTTAAAAATGCCGAAGATACCCTTTTTGTCTTGAATGAATCAAATTATTGCATACTTTGTCGTAATTATTCAAACCGTCATTCTTCTTAAATTAGTTATGTCAGCAGAGACAAGGCTTTCATGAAGAATGTTCTTACTTTCACTTTCACTAGCCACACAGTCGCACCAAGCACAGGTGTTGAATATCCAAGAGTTACGGTTAGGTCCACAGTTTTTACAGGATTTTGTAGATTGCCTCTTTGAATCGTCCCATAGGATCGCTGTTTATAGGATCAGGGTTGTAGTTCACTGTTTATAGGATCAGGGTTGTAGTTTACTGTTTATAGAATCGTCCTATAGCTCACAAAAAATTTATTGCTTGCTTCTTGTTTAATCCAACCTTTTTTTTTTTTTTAAAAAAAAAAAAAGAGCAAACTCCCTTCATAATCGTTGTCAGGATCGAGGCCTATTCCTCCGTGATTCTTCGATTCCGCAGCACATCAAATCCAAGTAACACAGCCATCGACAATTGCAAATGTTGCCAGATTAGGCTAAAAAACACAGGTTATCCGGATATATCCAAAAGTTTGGACAACTAAAATTAGATTACCCAGATACACAGGCAAACTCGATAAGTCGGTCTCTCGATGATTCAATTTTGGCCTAAGAAGGCCAAAACTTCCCAAGCCCTTTTCTCAGTTTTAATATTTAAAATCTCTCGATAAGTCGGTTCTCTCGATAAGTCGGTTCTCTCGATAAGTCGGTCCATCATGCATGACCGACTTATCGAGTTTGCCTGTGTATGTCCAAAAGTTTGGACAGACACAAATTACCTCATTTATCCGACAATTTGGACAGTTTAGTGAAACGATAATTAGTTATAAATACGAGTCGTAGATAGTAGCTAAAAATCATCGTTTCGATCATTCGAATCATATTTTCAGCAAGACGTTGCTAATAGAATAGTTCTCTTTATTCTAATAAAAATCCGGTTTAGATGTACTTAGTTCGTTTATTCCCTGATAAAAGATACTTGCATCGTTTGGCGAAGTATTAAAAACGCTTTTCACGTTAGCGGTGAATAGAATTAATCCTTGCCAATTAATTATTTAGTACTTTTGCATTTAGGTTTATTGTTTAATTATTACTAGTAGCTTCAGATAAGATAAATTCCCCGTTTCGATAGGCCGTGAATTTAATCCCATTACGGAAATCGCTGAGATATTGTTTAAACAATAATCCAGGGACAGCGTATACAAAAACGATAATATACATCGTGAGTATTAAATCCTATTTAAAGGTCACTTATTTAGTTTAAAGTAAGAAGAGCAAAGGCTTCCGTTGGAAACAAACTAAATCCCAAAACGGCTAGTGCACCGCTGCTCTCCCAGGTGTAAGCTAGTCCGACATCGTATATTCAATCAAAGAAATGGTGATGGTAACTATTGATTCTATTTTGTGTATACTCGGGAAGGAAACGTATAGTCATGTGATTAAATTACATTATCTGATTACCGAATTTTATTGAGAAAATCAAGGACCGACAATACAGGAAAGAATTTAGTTTCCAAAATAAGTGTCAATTTTTTGTTGTTGGTTCGATTGAAAGTCTTTGACGTCTAGTATTTCCTCCATTTACAGCAAAATTCGGTTGAGCATGGTAATAACAAGTTATACAGTGGGTGACCAAAAGTCTCTGACCACATAAAATTTCCGTTCATCATGCATAATTCCATAACAAAACTTCAGATTTCTATGAAACTTTAGCTATAGTTTGCGCTTGTATTGAGCTACACTCCTGCAAAGTTCGTTATAAATTAATATGTAAACATTTGAGTTTTTCTAAATCAAATTTACTCAACTGAAAATAAATAGATTAGGCATTATGAAGATGCACAAAAATTAATACCTCCACAACCATTTACATTATTAACAAACTTTAAACGCGGTTTTGTAGCAGTTGTACTCAAGCTGTGATTGCTGCACTGCAAATGGAGGAAATACTAACTATTGACGTTCACTTTAAGTAAATAAAATTTCTTTTGGGTTTAATAAAAAAACT